AAAAAAAAATTATGTTGATTTGTTGATTTTTCAAAAAGTTATGGATGTTTTAAGAAAAAAAAGTGAAAAAATTTCGAAAATTAGCGATTTTTAAATTTGTAATTTTTTTGGATATTTCCCTCATTTGCGGGGAACGAGGGAATTTTTTTCAATTTTTAAGGGTAATGTCTTCAACTAGATACGATTTGTGATCTTGTGAGAGTTGAGAAAAAGTGGCAACAGACATAAAAAAAAAAACACATCATAGTAAAATTAATACCTTCTCAGCTTCGCATCGAAGCTAAAATATCATATTGATAAATATATCATAGGTTCAATAGTAATGATATATTTATCAAATTGAACAATGAATTTATTATATAGATCGAGGTTTTTCTCTGGGTGTATAATTTATAAAAAAAAATCCAATGATTTAATACTATAATAATCGTACAACAATATAAAAATTATTAAATGTATGTTAAAAATTAGTTAGCTATTTGTATAATATATTATGCAGTATTGCTCTTGAAATTGGTGCGTGTGATTAACAGGCCTTTTGCCTGTTTTGAATATTAATGATGATCACTTACCCTATCAATAAACATAAAGATACCATCAACCTTCCATTTAATGAAAACACAATGTTAAATCAAACTTTACAAAATAATGAATAAATAAAACATTTTTTATTAAAAATATGGTGCAAATTATCAACACATAGAGAGAAATAAGTAATTTTTTTTTAAAAATAGTTTGGTAATTTTAATCAGCGTCATTTTAGTTTTCAATTGAATGAACACATTACACTGTCAGTCAATTACGTCATAGTATCTCAAACGCAAACATTTCAATTTATTAAGTTATTTATTCGTAATAAAAAGTTGAATAATTTACAAATACTTATATAAAACTAGGAAATTTTACAATTTTTTTTATATTTTCAACATTTTTCTAGGCGGGAAGGTCTAAATAATAAAATTCTCAGAGTCTTACTTTACTTTATATTAAATAATGTAAGAATATTGATGTTTGAAAAGGGTTCAGGCCTTCTGAAACCACCCCTGTAAATTCATCACAAAGATCATTATTTGGGAATTAAAAAAATTAAATTTAAATTATCTACGAGCACTATACTCAGTAAAAAAAAAAAAAACAATAAAATTAATATGTTTAATTAAATACAGTAATAAAATAAATAATAGCTATAGCTTTTTTAACCAACAGAACATTAACATTAGTTCAATGTCACAAAAAAACTCTAATACATTAACACATTGTTTGATAACAATATTCATGATAATAGTTAACTGACATGCGCATATTTAAATAAATGTATTGTTTTCTAGCGCGTTGAGTCATATTTTTATGAAAAAACAAATAAGCATAAGATATATATCTAAAACAAAATTTAATATATTTAAAATTAAAAAGTATTGATTTCTAAGTAATTATTTTACTTTTATTTTTATTAAAATATATATTTAAAAAAGTACATACAAATCAACTATTAGCTTAACATGAATAAATATTTGTATAAAACCTTTGTATGTTGTTAAAGAAATTGGAAATCACGTTTAGTTTTTATTTGCAGTAAACTATAAATCAGAAAAATAGTGGAAACTAGTGATTTACCCTTAGATTTTGAGTGTAGATGGGTTGTTGGTCGCCGTCTTGTTGTTGTTTGTTCAAACGGCGCCACTGAAGTACGGCAAGCAACGTCAAACCCACTCCAGTGGGAATGGGGTAGATGAGATTTGACCAACTCCACCATCGCGAATTTTTCGTCGCCGTTTCTTTGACGCCTATACCATCCGGAGGTGTGTTAGATGCAGTAGTACCTGTAGAATATAACATCAAAATTAACGGAATGTGTAGGTAAAAAAAATGTATAAATATATATATTTAAAAACGTATTAAAAAAATGTCAACTAAACGATAATATTTAATTATACAGGTACACACATGCGTATAAAAAGTATTGTGTAAACAGAATATCGGCCAGACCGCAACAGTAAGGGATCCATGGTTCGTCCATGACGCGCGTTCGCGTACAAATGTGTAGCAACACAATAAAATGTATTATAAAATTATTATTATTTGCTCACTATTGTAATGGAGCGCAAACGATGTACGCTAATCGGCCGGCGGGCGAGTGCGATGCGGTGGCGTGATGGCAAAAGTAAATCAGTCGACGCACCGCGTGATTATGACCTTATAAATACAATTTTAACTATTGGACCAATCATTTGCGCGGATAAAATTTTGTCAGCAATTTTATTTCATCGTAGTCTCAACTGAAGCTCATTTGTTTGCGGTTCGATTGATCCATTAAAATCCGTTAATATTATTCATGTTGTTTTTCTTTATAAATCTAAAGCTTTATGAATATTATATTTATACTACGAGCTCGATAATGGACTCAGTGTCATGCGGTGACATCGTGTGCAAACGAGAAATAATTAAACAAATGATTGCAGCAGCAGTGCCAGTCTTAAGTCTGAACGTTGTTTGACATAATGTTTTTTACGTTTGTAATTAGCAGTATGAGACAAGTAAAACTTCTTCCAGACGGGGTACCATAGATCATGGTTTGGAACAATTTCTACACTGCTATTAACTATTTTTTATATGGCTAATTTACTTTAATTAAATTGGCCTTAAGCAAAATGTCAATATGTATAACTATGTAATACTACATTTTAAATGTACGTCGTACACGATTTTAATAAATTATCAAGAATGTATATATTTTTTCCTAGATTTAAAGTTTTTATAACACTAGAAATGGTTAAAAGAATTTAAAAAATATTCAATAATCATTTTTATGAAACTTTGTGTTGTATTAATATAAATATTACTGAAATGACCATACATGTAATAGACATTTTGTGCAATAAAAAAAAAGAAAGAAAAATTTTTTGAATATAATATTAATTTGAATACTATAAATAAACTATTTGCAATTCATGGGATGACCACACTAGTCATTGACACATTAATAAATGGTTGTGCTTGATTAGTCATGAAAAATCTATATAAATTTTAAATATTTTTGATTCACTTTAGAAATTATGAAGGGGACTTCGATCTATTTTTCAAAAGCTTTAAAAAAAGATTACGACATGACAAACATAAAAATTGCTAAAGACTGAAACTGTTGCATATAAAAGGCCGACTTATGGTGATAAATTAGCAAACTAAAATTTGTAGAATTATGTATATTTTTAAAAAGGATGAGCAATTTATCGAATATTTAAGGAATCATCAAAAATGAAATGTTCTTTTTTTTAATTTAGGTATAGTACTTTATTTTTTCATTTAATTACCATCAAATGGACCAACTGGTTGGTTAAACTCGAGGCAGTTAAATATCGATTACCAATTTAGTTTACAGCACTAGTAAAATGTTAACTAGTATTAGTGTTAGAAACGCAAAAATGAAATGATGAAATGTATAAAATATTTAAATGCTCTAAGTTTAACCACCATCGCCTCGCAAATTTACTCATTTGACGGTATATAACAGACTACATCATCAGTTTAAAATATGTTTTATGGAAAATAAATACAGCTCAATAATCATAATCATAAATATATGACAAATCATAATTAGCTAATACAACTATTAACATTTTTTTAAACAATCTAATTGTTTAATCTAACTGATTATACGTTACTTGACTGACAATAATTATTTATGCGACATATATAAATTAAGTGCAATACATTATAGTAATATTGAGCTATTGAATAAAAATTTATAAATTTAAAAGCAATATTATAATACATAACCTACATCTTGGTAACAATAACAGTCAAGGGAAATATGAAGAAATCATAAAACAAAGATTTATTAATAAAAGTAATTTTTATAACGGGAACATGAAAAGTTCTAAACAATGTTTTAATATTTAAACGAACACGAGTATTTACTAAGTCAATTTTATCTATAATTAGATCCTTGATTCATTGTATAATTATGAACACTTTATGGAATTTTTTTTTTTATAATCTAATTAAATATTCTACGGAATAAGATTTTAGGAATATCCTAGAATGTTTAAAAAAAAATTGAAAAGAAGTAAAAATATTACACTTTTGAAAAGTTTTTTCAAAAACTTTTATTCAGAATTCAGAGAATAATAAATATAATAATTTAATATGAACATATTACTGACTAATTGTTTTAACAGTAATTATAAATTAATAATTTTTGCCAACTTAAACATATATAATATATTAATATTTATAGTTAAATAATATAAATAACTTAAATAAAATCAAAGAACCGTTTTTATTTGAATTCTTGAAATAATCAAACGGCTTTTTGAAGAAAAAAAAATCAATCCATAATCATGATTATTAATACTACTATTGAATTAGTTAAAATTATATCATCAAACTAAATACATCCCTACAACTTATACATATTATTATCAACGAAATAATAGATTTATCATAAAATAAAGATAATAAATTAAATATTAATTAAGACAAGGTTGATACTTTAATTACTCCTAGAAAACTAAGATAAAACTATATTAAAGTTCCTCAATCTTTACAATATGCAGTTATCACGATGTTAAATGAATTTAAACTCTTTATCATAGTCAAAAAAAAAAATTGAATTAATCATGTATATATTAAAAAATTATGTATTTAAAGTTATTAATTTTTTTTTAGTTAAAAAATAATTATTTCTTTGAATATTAAGTGCAAAATTATTAGCATCGATGCGAAGCTGAGAAGGTATTGGTTTTACTATGATGTGTTTTTTTTTTGTGTCTGTTACCATTTCTTCTCAGCTATCACCGAACCTATTTTTTTTCAATGATACGTCAAAAGATCACAAATCGTATCTAGTCGAAGACATTACCTTCAAAAATTGAAAAAATTTCACTCGTTCTCCGTAAATGGGGAAAACTACAAATTTAAAAATTGCTAATTTTCGAAATTTTTTCAATTTTTTTACTTAAAATTGTCATAACTTTTTCAAAAATGAACAAATCAATATATATATTTTTACCTAGAAGGCCGTATACCTAATAGAACAATAGAATCCGTTTGACGAATGTATACGTTAGTCAAATGCACAATACAAAAATAGGCCTCCTGAGCGTTTTAATAAATATAGATCATAACTGAACAGTCTAAAATTCTCACTTTATTTAAGTTTATTTTATTTTAATAAAAAAAATATATTCAATTATCTGGTTAATAACAAGCCATAAAGCTGCTAACAAATATTATACATTAAATGTCATTATTATCATTAGTCCCACTCAAAATATTTGATTAATAATTTTTTTAAATTAGATAGAAGTTATAGAAAAAAATCATTAAAAAAAAAATTAAGGTTATTTTATTAATATAGTTCAACTATTCAAAAAAAATGAGAAGGGTGAAGAGGAAAAGCCTCTGGCTACAAAACTCAAAATATACAAAAATCAAAAAATATATTTGGACAACAATGTAGTAAAATAGTAGTATTACATGAACACTTAATATATATGAATATGTATACGTTTTTTTAAATCTTGCAGAAAACAGGAAAATTTTCAACATGAATTTTAGAATTATTTTAGCTAAGAAACAATTGAATAATAATTTCGGATTTGATACAATGTCTTTTAGTGAAACAAAATGTTAATTTTTTGATAAAGTAAAAGACAGCATATATATCTTAGTAAATTGGTTTTTCAAACAAATTTTACTTTTTTTTAATAAGGAATGAAATAAAAAAAACCCAGCACAGGGGGGTCGCGGCACAGTGGTGATGTGGCATAGTTGGATCAAGTATTATGATATCTGACAGTGATTAAAATCACTATCAAAAATAAACGCTTCGATGCAATTCTTTAGATAGTGTTTAATTTTAAAAAAATTGGTGTTTTATTCCAAAAGCTACTTGATCTGCTGGTTCCTTATTAATATCTCGATTAAGATAAAGTATGTCGAATGAAAAAAGGTTTATTAAAAAATATTATTTCTCATAAAAAAATTGTGTGGATCCATAAACTTTTCAATAAGTTATAGCATTATAAAGTTAAATATAATATAAATAATAAAATCGAAAATTTTCACACAAAAATAGCATTCGGTAGCCGTTTTCACCATGAAGACAAGTCCAGAGGTCAAATTTTTTTTTTTTCAAATAAAAGTAATTACATTAGCTTTAATTTAAGATATATATAAAAGTGTCAGACCTTCCGGAACATTTTCAAAAGTTAAGTTGAAAAAGTTAATTTTTTGTGAAAAAGTTGTCATTTTAAATCCCCCCCTGTGGGCAGAAAAAAGGTCAAATTTACAAAAAAAATATACCAACTGATAAGTAAAGACATCAAGCATCTATATATAAAAAAAATTATATTGATATGTTCATTTTTGAAAAAGTTAGAGCATTATTAAATTAAAAATATAAAAAAAAATTATTTTACAAAAATCGTAATTTTTTATTAACTTTGATGTCAACTTTCACCACAAAGAAAAGTCCAGAGGTCAATTTTTTTTTTTTCAAATTAAAGTATATTACATAAGCTTTAATTTAAGATATATATAAAAGTGTCAGACCTTCCGGAACATTTTCAAAAGTTAAGTTGAAAAAATTCTACTTTCTATATGCATTTTTATGTTTTGAATCCCCCCTGTATTAAGGGCAATAGTCCGATTAAAAAAAAAAGTATGTCGAATGAAAGATCTATATAAATACTACTCCTCATAAAAAAATTGTAATGATCCATACATTTTTTAAAAAGTTATAGCACTTTAAAGTAAAAAATGTAAATTATAAAATCTAAAAATTTGGTTATTTCTAAAAAAGTTATGGCAATTTTAAGTAAAAATAAATTGAAAAATTTTCGAAAATTAGTGTTTTTTAAATTTGTAATTTTTTTGGAGGTTTCCCTCCAAAAAAATTATATCAAATAAGAAAGAAATATCTATGGTTTCAATATAAAAAAGAATTTTTTTTATTTGATAATTTTTCAATAAATTATGGCAATTTTTAGAAAAAAAGTTTAAAATTTACCAATTTTAAAAATAGTAATTTTTTTGGAGGTTTCCCCCATTTTTGGGAACAAGGGATTTTTTTTTCAATTTTTGAGGGTAATGTCTTCGACTAGATACGATTTGTGACCTTTTGACGTATCATTGAAAGAAATCGGTTCGGTGAGAGCTGAGAAAAAGTGGTAATAGACAAAAAAAAAAAAAAAAAACACTTCTTAGTAAAACCAATACCTTCTCAGCTTTGCATCGAAGCTAAAACATTTAAATGCAGTAGGGATCCAGCAATATGAAGCAGAGGCATTTTTTAGATTAGTATTGATTAATATTTGACAGTGATTAAGAAGATCATGCTTTGATACGTAATTGAAAAAAATTATCATATCCACCAAAAATTGACTGTTTTTTGGCCTTAACTACTAAAATTTGTGATTTTGAATCAAAATTGATAAAAATTTTCTTAGTAAATACAATGTTTCAATACTTTAATTAAAAAGTTAGATAATTTTAATAAGTTAAAATAATTACAATATACCTTTATAGCAACAATTACCCAAGGCTTTTATTGAAATATAACCAAGCCATTAAGATTAAGTTCAGTCATGGGCTCATTTATTTAAAAAAATAATAATTAAGTATTTAGGTATATGTAAAGAAAATTTAATTTAATTTTTAAGTTTATTTAGGGTATCAAAGTAATGAAGTCATGAGCAAAAGAAAAGGTTATCAACTAATATAAAATATGTTAAAGAAATATGTATGCGTTAAATAACACCTTTCTTTCGTTTTCTTATGAGCCTTAATGAATATTTTAACTTAATTTGAACACAAATGGTATTTATTTTAATAAGTATTTCAAATAAAAAAAAGTTACAAATAAAATTTAGAGTCCTAGAAAAGAACCTTCAAAATTATTAAAACAAGAGTTTTATAAAAAAACATAGAGTTAATTCAGTCTAATTACAATGCCTGTATTCTTATAAGCAGTTTCTTTCTGAACATGATATCAACTTTATAATTGTTGCTGTCAACCCTCTATCCCCCAAATATCATACAGTATATACCATTTCAAGACCTCTTAAGAGATCAATATGAAAAAAAGGGGTAAAAGATATAAAAATTATAGATTAAAATTGAAGGACATTTTGAAGCTATTGATGTGCAATTATAATATAAATATTTGAACTTTCATAGTAAGAACAATTTACAATTTAAAATTATATTTATTTATTAGTAATTTTACTTTGTATATTTATTCATTTTTATAGCATTGTATTTATTTTAAATTAAAAGTAAAACAACTTTCATGATGAACATTCTGTAGGTTGAGTTATTAAAGAATAATGCATTTACAGATAAATGCTTCCTAATATAATAGACACAATGTATATAAATTGTATAATAGTATGCATATGTTCTGAAAAAAAGTAGTTCAGACCTGATAAAAACCAAAAGTTTTTTCAAAAACTTTTCATCAAAAAATGATACCCAAGTAAATTTGAATATTAATGTTAAAGGATATATTGTAATGTAGAATTTTAATGAATTTATTCCAATTGTTTTTCAAAATTTTTTTAAGCTAACAGTAATGTTTTTATGTTTTAATTTGATAGTTGAAACTATGAACTTTATTATTTTACAAAACCAAGGTCTTTATCAATAAGAACAATCAAAATGAATACTAACTTATTTATTTTAGTATAATCATCTATTATATAACCCATTTTATTAATTAATAATAGATTAAATTAAATGTTTATTTGTTATTTAAAATTAAATTAAAAAACACATCACATTTTAACCGTTTATGATTTAAGTTGAAGGAATTTAATATCATTCAAAATTTATCTAATGTAACTTAACTAAATGCCATACTACATCCATTTTTAAATAGATATCAAACTAAATTCTAAAGTTCAGGAGGTTATTATTTGACCTGTATATTCATTTATCAATATTTTATAAAAGCAAACAGATATATACAAAATAATTTTGTAGATACTTAAAAAAGAGTGGGGTAATCCCATTTATAATATACAAATCTCAACATTTAATATGTTGTAAATTTTGATTATTTTCTATCGTAATATGTTGTTTATGCAAAAAACTACCAAGTGGTACTTAATCAAGAATAAATGATTTAATTTTTTTTATGAAGAATTTTAAATAGACACTGAGCATAAGAAGGCTCAGTTTTATAAAAATATTTATATTAATGTTATTATTATTAATTTATATTATTTAATAATAAATATTTTAGTATCTCCTTATAAGTTGATCAAAGAGATGAAATTAAATGTACAATTTGCCAAATGGATATCAATTATTTAACTTTTTTTTATAGTTTTCTTTTAACTCTGGTATTATTAGAATTTATTAAAGGGTATTAGAGTAATTATTAATTATAAGAAGTAAAATACTTAATAAAAATTCATTAAGTGTGTATTATAGTTCAAAATAAATTTTTAATTGATGTATGAATAAAACATTAATTAATTAATCANAATTTTTAGCGATGATCGAGTTGGAAAATCAATCATAATTATAGTTTAAAAATAAAATATGTAATTTTCTTGTGTAAATCATTCAAAATACCACCATTATACTTTAAAAAATTTAATTTTAATTGAATTAATCTTACAAAAACTGAGATTTATTTTTCAATACAAATCAAAATTATAATACTCAAAAATACTTTTGGCAATTCAATAAAATTAATTTCGCATAACGTGTTTTATATTTTTAAAATGATAAATGTCAACAAAACATTAATCACTAACCGTATTTTTTCCTTAGCGACCTTTGGCACACCACACTTTTTATCGAAGTGGGGTAGATGAACAACAGCCTCTTCGTGGTTCTCAAGTTTCTATTGAACATGCTGATTCGTTCGCAGTGCAATTAAATTAATAAAATAAATATTTTAATAAATTATTATTAATAAATTAATTAAAATTTGATAAAAACACACAACACCACCACACTCTCTCGGTACCCATATCTCCGAAAAAATTTTAACTTCGTAAATTCCTAGAATATTAAACTGATGGACTAAAATGGCTATAATCAATAAAACAGATAAGGGTAGAAACAAAAAGCTATTATCAATCAGATGTTTATAAAATATATTTTTGAACCATGGTATATCAAAGACGTTATAATAATACCAGTCCTGACAAATTGATTAAAAAAAGCGCAATTATTTTTATTGCAAAATAAATTATTCATTATAGTTTTTTATTTTTATTATAATATATTTAGCTGAAATTTTAATTTTATAAAATAATATGTATCAACGAAAATTTTACTATATAATTTATATATTACTAATATGTTATGCTTAAATTAAATAAAACTAAATTCCTAACAAAACAATAAAAAATGCAATGTTGTCATTTCTTTACTAGCATGTGTGATAAAAACACCAGCATGGCTGTTCCGAATCTAAATTAGAAGTAATAGTATAAAAAATATTTTTATTGATTAAATAATTTTTCTTTTATTATGAGACATTTTCAATATTATTATATAATAATATAAAAATAATAATAAAATAGTTGTATATTTCTTTACTTTAAACGCGTATAAAATTTAAGGGCTTGATACAATACTTTTTAATAAAAAATTTTTGAAGTTTTATACACTGGACTACAAAAAAAAATTATTTTATATTAATACTGATTTTGATTATTAATTCGTTAAAAATAAGAAAAATGACATATTTAACCTATTTTTTTAATCCTTTAAAGTTGATTTTTGAGAATGTTTATAATAAAAAAAAATTTATTTATTACCATAAATTTTAGCTCAATTTGCAAGTTTGAAATTGACATCATTAAATAGGAAATTCAATGATAATTAAAAAAATTGTATTATTAAGATTAATATACAGTCCGGAGATTTTATAATTACTATTTATAATAAATTTATTAGAAAAGCTCAATATTTTTTTGCATTTTTATCGTAATAGATAACTTAAATACAAATAATAGTAATCATTCCCTAGTATCATTTGGTGTTTAAAAAGATTCTACAATCAAATTATGAACTGAATTGATATGATTTAATTTTGTAGTTGAAACTTATCATATCACACTTGAATCATCAATAAATATTTTGAAAACATTAGAAATGAATGATTTTAATTATTTGTATGGAGAATATAGTATAAGTAACTGTTTAATTGACAAATTAGTATTTCAATTTTCGATGGTAATATCTTAAACTAGATATGAATTGTAATCATTTGACGTATTTTTGAAAAAAGTAGGTCGAGTGAGAGCAGTGAAAATAAATGATAGTCTCAAAAAAAAACCTTCACAGCTTTGCATCGAAGCTAAAGCCAAAATATAGTAAAATAATTTTAATATAAATAATAAGTTTCTTCTCACAAGAGGCGACTACAGTGATGGGATTCTTGATCTTTATTGAATCTAAATGAAGTAAAAATCAAATGTGTTGAAAATTTATTCAACACCATTATATATATTACATAAGCTTTAATTTAAGATATATATAAAAGTGTCAGTATTTTTGGAACACTTTCAAAAATTAAATTTAAAATGTCCTAGTTTCAATACGCATGTTTAAATTATGACCCCCCTTCTATAAAGGGAAATGATCTGATTTACAAAAAAAGTATGTCAGATGAAAGGGGTATATAAAAATTATTTATAAAAAAATAATAATATTGATCCATACATGTTTCAAAAAGTTATAGCAATATAAGTTTAAAAATATAAAATCGAGAATTTTTTCACGGAAATCCCACGTTTTTCTTAAACTTGCCCGTTTTCACCATGAAGATAATTCCAGAGGTCAAGTTTTTTTTTCGAATTAAAGAATATTACATAAGCTTTAATTTAAAGTATATATAAAAGTGTCGGTCTTTTCGATACATTTTCAAAAGATAAGTTGAAAAAGTTGCCATTTTGAAACCCTTTCTGTGGCCTGGTAAAGGGTCAAATGTTTAAAAAAATATAGAAAATGATAGGTAAATACCTAAGGTATCAATAAAAAAAAATTATATTGATTCGGTCATTTTTAAAAAATGACTGAAAATTATGGCAGTTTTAAGTAAAAAAAATTAGCGATTTATAAATTTGTATTTTTTTGGGGGATTTCTCCCGTTTACAGAGAACAAGGGACTTTTTTTTTCAATTTTTTATGGTAATGTCTTCGACTAGATACAATTTGTGATCTTTTGACGTATTGTTCATAAAATCGGTCCAGTGACAGTTGAGATTGAGTGATAACAGACACAAAAAAAAACGCATCATAGTAAAATTAATACCTTCTTTGCTTGGCATCGAAGCTAAAATTATTGGTGAACAAAAAATAGACGGTAGCACAGTGGGGTCGCGGCACAGTGTGAGCATGGACAAGTATAGGTGATATTCGACTTAAAAAAAAAAAAAATTTAAACTTGTGTGTAAAAATTGTTATTTTGAATCCTGCCTGTGGTCAGGTCAAAAATCAGATTTTCAAAAAATGTACGTCAAATGAAAGAATTAAATATAATGAATTTATGAAAAAATAATTGTATTGATACATTTTTATACATTTTTCAAAAACTTATTGTAATTTAAAGTTGAAAAATGAAGTCTGAAATCGTAAATTTTAACACTAAAATTGCATGTTTTTTAACTACGGCAACCATTTTCACATAGAAGAAAAGGTGTCGGTCCAAATTTTTTTTTAACTTATAGTGCATAACAATATCTTTATTTTAACATATGTTTGTACCTCGGAGTATTTGAGGAACATTTTCAAAACTAAAGTTGAAAAAGTTTAATTTTTGTGCAGAAGTTGCTATTTTGAATCCCTTCTTTTAGGCAAAAAATTATATCAAATAAAAAAGAAATATCTATGGTTTCAATATAAAAAAGAATTTTTTTTATTTGATAATGTTTCAATAAATTATGGCAATTTTTAGAAAAAAAGTTTAAAAAATGTCAAAATTTACCAATTTTAAAAATAGTAATTTTTTTGGAGTTTTCCCCCATTTTTGGGAACAAGGGAAATTTTTTCAATTTTTAAGGGTAATATCTTCAACTAGAGACGATTTGTGATCTTTTGACGTATCGTTGAAAGAAATCGGTTCAGTGAGATCTGAGAAAAAGTGGCAACAGACACAAAAAAAAAACTTATCATGGAAAAATTAATACCTTCTCAGCTTTGCATCGAAGCTAAAAAACAGTCCAAATGGTAACAAAAATAAAAATATTAAATTGGAATCGATTATTTAGTAAATTTAAAATTCAAAATTTTAATTGAAACTCATAATTTGATTATTCAGAAAACCTTTAAATTATCATAATCTCTAACATTTTCAAATAAGAGATTTCATATTATTAATAAAATAATTTAAATAATTAAAAATATATATTTCCTATCGCAACAAACTTTTAAATAAAATTTTATAAGAATCGAAACTTAAAGTAGAATACCAAATGTAGTTCTAGTTATACCTATGTTCTAAGTCCTTGTTATGAAGAAATTATTTTATTAAAGTTATTCAAGTTCAATTCAAGTATTTTAATTAATTTAAGATGGATAATGTGTTAGTCTAAATTTTGGTGTTATTTTGTAAAACATAAAAGTTCTTAACAAAACCTAAGTAAAATGTTTTATTTTTCCAAACTTCTTTATAAAAAATAGTATAAATCAGTTCTGTTGAAGAGTACATAATTTTATTTTAGTATGTGTAGTATAAAATAATTATTTTACAAAATAAGCGATTGCAAAATTTAATGCTATCGTTTAAAAATTAAAATTAGTTCAAACTTTCACTAACGCTTTCCCAATGTTATCACCTCTCAACATTCCCATAAATGCTTCAGGTAAGTTCTCAAATCCAGCAGTGATATGCTCTGGATGAATTAATTTACCCTAGAAAGAAAAATTATAAGTCACGTGAGTTTTCAATAATAATAATTATAGATTAAAATTGTGAATGAATCAAATCTTAACTCAATATTAATTCTTAAATATAAAAAAAAAACACGAATACCTCCTTAATAAGATTAAGGTTTTGTTGAATACCATCCATCCATTTTTCACCCCATCTGCTCACAATAAATCCTTCTATTTTTAATTGTTTGAAAATTATTGCTGGTTGTAATAAGGGAACTATAATATTAAATCCAATAATAATAAAATAATAATAATATTTTATTTAAAAATTGATGCTTGAGGTAAATTTAATACCTTTTGGCAACTCTTTTGGATTAGAATTGTACGATGAAATTGATCCACAAACTGATATACGTCCTCTATTTTTCATTCTATATATAACTGCACTACTTAATTCTCCTCCAACCTGAATTAATATATTTTTTTTTTATTGAAAAAAAATATTTATTCATTAATTGGAACATTTAAAATTGCACAATTATTATTGACTGCAAATAAAAAATAAATTTTAGACCTTTCTGTAATTGCGTGGTCATAGCAATAACCAATGATCATATTTCTATGAACACTAATGCAGTTTACTAAAGTATCATTTACATAGGATAATAATAAATAATATTCCAGATGTCAAGTACATATTTAGAAAAATTCCATTGGGACATAACCAATAAAAATCGCATTAATGCCTTTACTCGTGTAAAAGTATAAACGATAATGTATTCCATTGGGCCTATACCTGGATTTGGTTCATTGACCCCCAACATTTTATATAGTTATTATTATTCTTTAATTCATATAATGGATTCTTGATATGTAGATAACTAGCAACATAATTTATTTTTGAAATATTAGTTCACTAACATTGTCAAAATAACAATCTACACCATGTGGTGCAGCTTCTTGAAGAGCAACAGTAACATCTTTCGTTTTGTAATTGTACGTTGCATCAAACTTAAGTACATCTTTCAGCCATTTAACTTTTTCATCAGTTCCAGCAAATCCTATTACATAACAGCCTAAATTTTTAGCGATTTGCCCAACATGACATCCGACTGCTCCAGCAGCACCGCTTATCACAACCGTTTCACCCGGTTTTGGATCGCATATATTCAAAAAACCAAAAAGGGCAGTATTTCTAAAAAAAAATGTATTTTTCAATAACGAAAATGTTTCTGAATGCTAATTTAAAATGTGCACCAAAATATAAACTCTCTAAATCGCTGATAATCACGATACTATAAATTATTAATTTAATAAACAAAGAATATTTTAGACCATATTGTTATTTAGATAATATCACTGATGAATAACTTTTAAATTATAATATTGTGCAAAATTTAAAATAAAAATTGAATTTTAAATTAAATAAAGAATATTTTGCACAGTTTTAATAAGTAAAGAGAATTTTAAATATAATAAGAATTAAAAAGTATATTGTTGTTTTTATTTTACCCTGGCATTCCCAGTACTCCAAGCCCTAATGATGGAGATAAACTTCCAAAATCTGGCAACATATAAAAAGTTGGCATTGAATCTCTTTCAGTTAAATTATTTGGATTAATAATGCTGTGGCTTCTCCAGCCAATTTGACAAAATACTAGTTGGCCCATTTGGTATTTCTGATTTTTCGATTCAATAACCCTAAAATATTATACATTTATTCTTTATGCAAGAAAACGTTCAAATTGTAATGTAATTAAATTGAATTATATCATTTATAAAAAGGAAATAAAATTTATTATTTTGTATTGACATTAATTTGGACTTACTTGGCAATTTGTGAACCCATTACGGTGGTACCTGCAGAGACATGATTGGAGTACGGTCTAAAAAAAAAGTAAGTCAAATACAAATTGTATTATGTCACTAGACTCAGTATCATCGATGTACGTACGTTTAAAAGTAAATCTTTGTTAAAACCGTAGTACATTTTTTTATTGGCGAATATATAAGAAGATCCACGATGTTTTGACAAATCTAATAACTCTTGGGCCATTGAATATTTTGATTTATTTTTTAAAAATAATTTTTACATTTTTGGACTACGTTAAAGGCATATTTTTTAATATTTATCATTACATTTATAGTCCTTTTTAGAAAAAAACTTGGTAACAACTTTAGCATAAATACTGGTTGAATTAATAACATTTTAATAGATAGAGTTGGTACGTACAATAGGCACGTGTAGGTGAGTACAGTTAAAACTAGTGTATATGTACCTATTCTACTCTATGTATTAAAACGCTTGTAGCTAAATAAAAATTTATTCTAAAGTTGTTATCGACTCATCAAAACAACAAATGTTGTGAGAAAGGGCAAAACTGATTATTTATAAATTTCAAAAAGATTAAATAGTTAATTTAATATTTTTTTATTTTAGATAAATAATAAAAAATATGATATTAACGTAATCCAAAACTGTAAAAATTATTTAAATAAAAAGTACCTCAAAATATATGCTAATCAATAATTTTTAGATTTGTCAAAACATGGTTATCATTTTAAATATTTATTGAAAAGATAGTAAGGCTCAGAGGGTACAAGCCCCCACAAAGTTATTCATATGACTTATTTTAAATTAAAAATGGTACTTTAAGAAAAATTTTTAAGTAGAAAAAAAGTTATTAAAAATAATATTTATTAAACAAAGATAATAAAATTTCTGCTTCAGTCCTTCCATAAAATTATCTTAATACATCTGACTAATTGTTTTACACGATTTTTTCTTTGAAATTTACAATCTAATTTATGCAATGATACATGCAAACATGTTTTATACTAAAAATGCATAATTTGTTTCAAATAATGGACAAATTAAACAGTAAGAATAATCAGTGGCGTATTTCAAACTAATTTTAGGAGGGGAAATTCAATTTTTTTTATTATGTTAAATATGTAAAAAAAATATTTTATAAATAATTCTAAAAACAATAAGATGACCAAAATAAAATTGATTTTAGAGGCATATTTCGTAATTATCAGCTTCATTAAAAATTGATAATGTTGGTCAAAAAGGTGGGGCAATTATCTTCGTTGCACTTCCCTAAACTACGCCCTTGGTAATAATAGGTATACGAATTATGTTCCTTAATTTTTCAATAAAAAATATTTTAAATTGATAATTATTTACCNCTAGTACAATTCTAAAACATACTAAAAAATATTAAAAGTTTGAATGATTCTTTTCTACTACTAAAATAGACAAAATCAATATTATAAATATGTATTGATATAAAGTTAATTATATTTAGAACTTAAAATAGTTAAGCTAAATATTTGATTTATTTTTATTTCCACGAAATTATAAGAATAAGAGTCTTTTAATAAACATAATATAAATCAAATATGCTAATAACTTATTTGATTAGTAATCATGTATTTCAATCATTTTTATGTGTTTGAATTTTTTAAGCAATAAGTTAATTTAAAAATGAGTAGCGTAGTCTAATTTATAAGTACATAAAAATTATAAATAAATATTAATACAAAAATATTTAGTAAAATAATTTGTTTTATTAATATTCTTTAATTCCAATAGTTTAATAAGGTTTAAAAAAACTTAATTTCAATTTTTTTTAGAAAATGTTAGGTGTATTGATTTCTAGTTACCATGAAATTTTATAGAGGGCTTAACTAAGTTTTTTTAATATATTTTAAAAAAAAATTTAAATACTAAAAATAAATGATACTGTATTTTTCTCAAAATATGCGTTGAGAAAAATATTCGCCTAATTGCTTAAAGAAAAAATAAATATTACAATTTTACTTGTTAGATTTATAATTTCTATGAGTTTTAGTAATTAATAATCAAAATAAAAGATATAAATTAAAAACAATAAAAAGTTTGGAAGTTTTTATATTACAGCTGCAAAGTATTACATTTTCAACAAACATATTGTTACCTCCAATTTGTAATTCATTTAGCTCTTCTTCTATAAGTTTAAAGTTTTCATCTTTAGGTGCTCCAACAAATGGTTTTTCTAAAATGAATATTTTTGCTTTTACCATTTTATAAATGTAGATAATAAAATAACATGTAGTGAAATTATTTTTTGTTATAACGGTTGTTGTAACAGGTTAGCTACTAAACGAATAATTTTTGTAATTTGTACTTATCAATAAATACCTAGTTGACCTTCATGAATGTCATACATATATGCTAACAGTCGGTATAAATGTAATTTATAATTTTTAACTATCAATGTATAACAAATATATAAATAACTTATATCAACATAAATTAACTGTAGTCAAAAAAAGTATTTTGTTAAATAAATATGACTTATAAAAAAATTAAGACTATGATTTTTTAATTAAACTAATTAATTAATCATTATAAATGTAGATATTGAAAAAAATGTAATTAATTGATTATTGTTTAAATTCTTTAGGTTACAAAAACCTTGATAATGTGTATTAAACACATGTTTTAAATATTTCTAATTTAATTTTGAATTATAAAACTTTAAATGTTATAATAATCATTAATATTAATATACTTATAAAAATTTGCCTGCACTGCGAATAAAAAATATTTCAGTCTAATACTTAATCTTAAACATTATTAATAGAAAATTGACAAGTAGTACGGTATATGAATTTATTTTAAACTAAATTATTCTTAAATAATACATAATTAAAAGATTATTTGTTTAATTTTTACGTATAAAAATGAATTAATGTGATATTTTTATAATGATACAATTATTCAATGATAGAACAAAATATAAATATATATATATATATTAACACTATTTAAATATACAGAGTGTTCAGTAAGTAAAGAAACAGTTAAATTGTTATAAACAATGAACAATAGAAACACGTTTTTTTACTTACTACAAACTTTATGTACATACATACCATTATAATATATTTACATCAGAATTTTATAGCCATCATTGGTAATTAGACGTTTTAAATATTTATGGCGTCTATTTTTAATTCAAATTTATTTATAAATAAATATACATTACTTAAAATAGTTCTAGTATTCAATTTTTTTAAATTTGGTACTGTAAATCTTTGTATGATAAATGAGATCATAACTAATAGACCCAACCCAACCTTTATCTTCTCACATAGAGGATATCAAATAACAACTGTTGCACAAAAATTTAATTATTTAAATTTATTTTCTGAAAATGTTCCGGAAATACTCCGAGATTCAAACATATGTTTAAATAAAGCTTATGTAATGTACTATAAGTTAAAAGAAAATTGTCCCAACGACTTATCTTCTATGTGCAAATTACTTTTAATTTCCGGAAATTCTCCCAACTTTAAACATATGTCAAATTAAAGCTTATGTTATATACTATAAGTTCACAAAAAAATAATTTGACCTAACGGTTTGTTTTCTGTAACGGTCTCCGAAGAAAAAGTGTATTATTTTGATATGCAATTGAAATATTGCAGTCTGGGGCAAAGTTTTGCGGGGCCCGGGGCAAGTTAGCCGTGAGGGGGTTCCAGTAGTTATCTCTATTTCTTTAAGACTTTTTTTTTTTTTGCTCAACCGATAAAAAAGTAGATAGGCTAAAGACAAATTAAACTAAGCCAACTGTGGTGCCCTAACGACCGCAGGGCCAGTGGCAGGTGCTCCGCTTGCCCCGGCACTGTTATTCTGTATAGTTAGTATATTACAATCTATATTACACTAATATTCAGAAATATACCGGGCCACTATCGTTTATGATTTTTTTCACTGATATGTTTTATTGTAACCTAAATGTTTTCGGTAATGTTTTTTTTTAGGTAAATATTCGTTTGCATCGAAACATTTCTTATGGTAGTAATTTTAATCACTATCAGATATCATCTATGCTTGTCCCAACTATGCCTTTCTATACCACTACCCCACTGTGCTACCGTTTGTTTGTTTTAATTATTTATATGTTGATTTTTTAATTCTGTATTTGTTAAACACTTATTATTATCATATTATAACACAGCTTATTTTTGTTCCCAAACAAAAATTATATGTTTCTTGTTTTTACATTTTATAGTTATCATATAATGTATGAATAATACTCCGTAGACTTACAGGATGTAAATATTCATAATCAAATCATATAAACATATAATATATTAAATATTATTAATTCACGTGTAATAAATTTATTTATTTGGTTCTTCTTCAAAAAACATTTTTAATCAATTTAAATGATAAAACTACATTAGAATTTTAATTATTGTTTTTACGTTTAAGATACTGTAAAGATCAAGTTTGATAGATAACTTTTCATATTTTTAAAACAAAGTAAGTTTGTTGGCTTAATATAAACAAAACATTTGTTAAAAAAACATTTATTTTTCTTTTAGTGTCATTGATTATAATTCCCGATTATACTCGACAATTATCATGCAAACTATAATTAATTATCCTATAATATTTCTAAAGTTATTATTTCAATAATCTATAGTAAAATTTATATTAAAAATTAGTTAAAGATTTCATACTTCAAGTAGCTAATTTATTAACCATGTACAAATAATTATTTAAACATTAAATTATTGAACAATTTTGTTTTTGTTATGCATTTGTAATCTATTTTAGAGTTATCAACACAAATTCTAATGATTTAAGTCAAATAAACATAAACGAACGTGCACAAAACTATTATGAATTCAAGATTTGCATTTTATACTCTTAAGATATGTCTTCTTGTTTTAAATTCATAATCTCAAGTAAGATTACTTATCAATGAAATTATGTACTATACCTCAGTGGTGGTTACAAAACTCTTGCCTTTTATAGAATAGTAAATTCTTAAATGCCTATAAATTTCTACTCGTGGTCTGTGTTAAACATAATAATTATTTTTTTATAAACTTAACTATGATGTTGTTTATTTTAGTATTGTTTATATACCCATTTTTAATAAATGGAGACATAGATTTAATGGTAATATATACATATTTATTTTTGGATAGTGAAAATTAAAGCGATAAAATTAACTTTTTTTTGTGTAGTATAAGATTATAATAATATTATTTATCGTGTTATTGAATGAATTATTAAATATATTAATCAATTTTAGTGTAAAGATTTAAAAATATTTACCTTAATTATTTTATGACATCTATATACTAGATTTCTTAATAGAAAAAATACAAATCAGAAGTTTAAAATTAAAAAAAATATTAAATAAATTTTCTATAACTTAATTTCAGCCATTTTCATTTATTTTAGAAATAATTAAAAGTTAAATAAATTAAATAAAACTTTTATACATTCAAGTGTTAAATTTTTGATTAAATCTCTAACTTAATATTACTATTAGGTGTCACAATATGATTTATAGGATTTTCATTTTATTAATGATTTATAGAAAATTACAAATCATACTGTGCATACAACTATCCGTCATAGGTATGCTCGAACTGTTATTACAACTTTAGTAAACAATTCGGACTGTATTCCACGGGAATTTCCGTTCTTCATAGCTTTGCCCGAAGACGCAATGATAACCGAATTTTCTGTGTAAGTATTTTTATGATATTTATTATTAGTTTTTCAATATTTTTACTGAAAATTAAATCATGATTTTAGGTATAAAAGTGGATCATTAATTAAAACTCGAGTAGAAGATACTGGTTTAGCTGAAGAAGAAACTATCATAAAGCCTAATGGTTTAAAAGGATATTATATACTGGACCTTATGTAAGAAATTAACGTTTTGTCAAATTTTCTGATTGATTTTTTTGAAATAAATGAAAATCTAATGTTTTTTTTTCTTAATAGAAATATTAAATATTTAAAAATTTTCAATAACTATTCATCTAGATAAATACATATAATTTTGTTAAATATTTCTTCCGTACGTAGAGACCTATTTAAAAGTATTTTTAGATTTAAGTTTCCTTAAAACGTAATTTTTTTTAATTTTATACCTTTCTTCAGAACAAAATCCTAATCACTATTTGTTCGTCCTTATATATTAAGTACAAATATCGAAATTCATAATTACCTATAATAATATACACAATAATATAAAATACTTAATGTAATAGCTTGTTTATACTTGATTCAATTTTATAAAAAGCTCAATAGATTCCAAGGGATTTGAAAACTATGTAACAGTTAGTCCTAATAGTACAGTTACAATTCAAATAATATATGAACAATTGTTAAAAAAAAAACTAGATGTGTACGATCACATATTGAATCTGAATTTTAATCAGGTAAAAAAAAAATTGAAATTATTCTATACGAATAATTGTTATAATAATAAATTGTATCTACAAATTTTTTATCACAGTCAACTATTAAAGACCTTCAAATTACTGTAAATATTGAAGATGTATGCGATATAATTTTTTTAAGAGTATCGAGAAGAGCAAGAACAAATTTTTCTAGTCCCGGTAATTAAACATTTCATATTAATAATACTGAATAAAATGAATTAATACTAATAATAAGTGATATATTTAATGTTTTGTGAATATTACATGTATGTGTTTTGGATATATACATAATATTTAAGAAATTTAGTTTATAATATCCATGAATTAGTTTAATGCCTAATGTTTATAAAAATGTTTTCAGAATATCAGTCAATTAATGTTTTTGGTACAAACAAAACTAAAACTATTACGTGGAAACCAACTATTATAGAGCAGGAAGAAATGGCAAATAAAAATTTGAATGCTCAATTTATAGTACAATATAGTGTTGACAATGATTATAGGCCCAATTTAATTCTAGTAAGATTTTAAATAATAAAATTACTTTTCGCTGTGCAATATAAAAAAGTTATATGGTATGGGTTATAAGTGTTATTTTTAGAAAAATAATGTAACAAATAATTAGTATATAAGAAATATGTATATATATATATGTTTATTATTAAATAGCATGTTCAATAATTAAGAAAAAGAGTTTATTCTGTTTCTTAAGTTCTTAATAAACGATCTAAATTATTATTAATGAACACTGTGTATGAATACTTTACTCTAACAGTTATTTTAATATAATTTTTATTATTAGTATAACGATGAATATTTTCTACATTTCTTTTCGCCCAGTAATTTGGAAAAATTCAGAGTCCATACAACATTTGTATTGGATGGTAGTGGATCAATGGGAATAGGAAAGATAAAGCATGTCAAACAAGCGATGCACAACATATTACACGAAATGCGACCGCAAGACTATTTTTCTATTGTAATTTTTTCAAACGATATAAAAGTAATATTTTTAAAGAATATCATTTTTGCTATAGTGTGTATATTATTTATCATTATTACGAATAGGTTTTGATGATGAACGCCGATGATTCAAAAATAAAATTAGAAGACTTTTTAAATATTAATTACAATTCAAAAAATATAATTTTGGGTTTTGAAGCTAATGAGTACAATGTGCAACAAATTGACCACTTGTTGGATATTGTACCACAAGGCTGTATGTATTATTTCAAAAATAAAGTTATTAGTAAATTAAATAAAATCAGAAAGGTTTCAGATTCGTGAATTATTTTTAAATTTAGATACAAACATAGGAGACGCATTAATGGCATCGAATCAAATAGCTGAATCGGTAAAGCTACGGTTAAATTTTCCTAAAGATGAAATAAAATCGATCGTAGTGCTTATATGTGATGGAACACCTAATTATGGAAAATTTAAGGATGACCCGTTCTTTGAGACAAAAAAGTAAATTATTTAGTCATTTTTTACTTCAAAGTTAGACAGCACTTTTATTAAAACATTATATTAATTAGAAATAGTCCGATATTCGGATTAGGTTATGGCAATGAAGATGAAAAAATTCATTTTCTTAACAAAATAACATTGTCAAATCACGGTTATTCAAAAAAAATCGATGAAAAATTGGATAATGATTTACAAATACAAAATTTTTATAAAGAAGTATCTACACCAGTACTATCCGATATTTATTTCAAGTACATAAATAAAAAAGTAAAATATAATGGATTATTCATAAATATATTAAAAAACATTAAATTAAGTTTTAAAAGATATGTTTATATTTTAGGAGCTGAAAGATGGTTTGTCAAAAAAATCATTCGACCTGTATTTCAAAGGATCTGAATTAATTATATCTGGTAAATTAATTGATTCAAAAGAAGAATTTAACTGTACAATAAATGCACATTCGAAGCATGGACCATACTCTGGACCTGGATTTACAGATTTTTTTTACATATCAAGAGATAATGATGAATGTAATAATATTTTGTTATTAGAATATTTTTATTTGGTTGATATACAAGTTATTGTTAACATAATATTTACTGAGGCTTTATAAATATTATACTTCAAAATAAATTTTAAATTAAAAATACATAATAATTTTTTTTATAGTTAACCTTCTAAGAAAATTATGGGCCTACATACATATTACTGAAATGCTGACTAAACATACAATTACTCAAGACACTAAAGAAAAAAACTATTTAAAAAGTCTAATTATAAAATATGCTATTGAAGTAATCATACTTCCAATTAATCCATTTTTACCCAGTTAAAATAAAAATTAATTTTATTATTTGCACTTTTTCAGAATTCATTTCTTACACCATTTACATCACTAGTTTTATCTTGGCCAGATCATCCCAATGCTTTAATTCAAACGGAAAAATTGTTTAAAAATTTTATAAATTACGCTACTTTGCCTAAATGGAAAAAAGTTTTGTTATATGAAATGAAGAAAACGATTCACCACAGAACGTCGATTGAAACTATTAATTCTTCTCCTTTAAATCCCAAGTTAAGAGCAACATATTATGCATTACGATCGCATTCGACTATTGTTGAAAAATGTAAGACTAGTATATATAAATACGATAGGATATATTATACCACATACATTAAATTATTAATTATGTTGTTAAAAAATGGATTAATTGAGGAATACGTGCTAGACTCTTTGGAGAAAATAGAAAAATTAATTAAATAATTGTATAAGATAAAAAACAATTCATTGATTTATTTTGATGACGTTTAAGACATAAAATTAGTTGATATCGTCTTTTTTCTTATCATAATCTGAAAGTTTTAAATATCCAACTTTGCTGTAAAAGTATTGTTTATTTATTTAATTTTATTAATAGTAGTATCAAATTATCTATTTAGTTACTACAAAATATTTTTTGAAAAAAGATTATAGTTGTTAAAGTCATGATTAACTATTTAGAAATAGTATGTTGGGTTAATATTATCAATAAATAGACATCATAGGGTTTTCAAGAAAAATTGTTTAATTTAATGGCCACAAGTTGCTGTTAGAAATATTGATAACAAATTCAATATCTTTATTTAGTCTATCTACAATATGACAATATTTGATATAATATTAATAACTATTATTGTTTATATTAGGGAAAATTCTCATTTTCAAAAAATACAAAATAAAATTTCTTGCGAGTTAAAAATGTTTAAAAAATAAAATTGTAAAGAATTTTTCAGAGAGCAAATATGTATTAATATTATTAATAAATAATCAAAATATAAATGAATAGATAGCTTTAAAATATAAAAAATATTAACTATTGAACTAAATAAATAATAAAATATAAATAAATGAATTAAATATAGTAACATTATCAGTTAATAACTGATAATGTTACTATATGAAATTTTATGTTTATCATATTTCAGTTCTAAATATTTATTTAGAAAGAAATTTGGGTAATCTATTAAAAAGAAATGCGTTTTTTACAATAAATTATTAGATTATTATAAAGTAAATAATTTTTATATAGTAAAATAATAATAATTAAATAAAATTGTATTTTATAAATTGCTTTAATGTGTAATTTTTAGCATTAAATTAAAAAATTTATTTATTTAATTATTATATAATTTATTTTAGATTCAATAACAACAAATGACTAGCAATCATTCAAGTTTGAAGAGACGATTATTACTGAAAATTATTTGTAACATATTTCATTACTGTCATAAGAACAATCTAAATTAAACAATTGACTATATTTTTAAATGTTAAAATGTGTACATTTGAATTATAGATAAAATTTAAATACAAACACATTAGTTGCATAAAATAGCATTAATTTATTAAAAATAAACCGAAAATACATAATTTTAATGGCGCTTAATTTGAATCATTCGGCAATAATACAAATTAAATATTATTTCACAATTATATGTCTCGACTAAACAATTTCTCATAATTTAAAAAAATCGGTATCATAAAGTAATATTAAGTATAGACATTTTTTGTAGTAAGTATAAGGATCAAAGAAATCATCATAAACTTTGCAATATTTGTACATTTTATACTCAACATTAATAACTATTTTTTTTTTTTAATTTATTAAAGACTTGTTAAGTTACGTCATTGATAGATTTGCTATATAGATCAGTTGTAAAAATAAGTGTAATATTAAAAATTTAAAAATATTTCCACTTTAATTTTTACTTACTATCAAATTTGTTATTCTCCTTAAATGTATACTATTTATTATTAATTAAAAACATATAAATTCAGTATTTTTCCCCGCATAACATTAAAATAGTCGCCATTTCTTACAAAACTAAATAATTCATAAGTGTATTTTTCAGCACACAAATACATATAAACAAAATACATTTAAAGATTAACGTTATCATTCAATTTTTAAAATTAACTAAATTTAAATTTGTCAGCAGGTCTTATAATAGAAGGCTTTTCTCATTTTAGGTGAAATAATTTTATACAACTTTGACTGTCGGATCTTTGACATCAGCAAAAACTTTTACATTAAATACCTTAACTTTGGTTAATTGATGAGACCTAAAAGACTATAATGGGATATTTGATTGAAAGTTAACTGATATTGAAATAGGGTGTACTATGACTGATGACGGGTTTTCGGTGATAACGCTATCTAAAATTGGTGATATTATTTGTCTATTTATTGTTAGAGGTATATAGTACGACCCATTGGCGTGTAAAGCGAATATTGGAACTTTTTGATTGTCTTCATTTCCAATCGCTGATTCTGTTCGGCTTCGTTTTCTATCTTGTGTGTAAAATTCATCTAAACTGTACCCACTGTTTTCTGCGCTGAACCGTTGTTTGATATCAGTCTTGAACTTGTACATGGAACCATTAGATGAATGCAAGTCAGTGTATATCATATTGTTGTTATGATTTATGTAACGATCCGGTAAAATCTAAAATGACAATTATCCTTATTTAGTCATTTAAATTATATTATATTATATGGTGACGCTTTAGTATACAAAGTAATCATTAACATGATAGTGATTTTAAATATTGTTAGACTTCTATCTATACTGTACAATACTATACTGTTTTCCTCTTAAAAATAATTAATTATTATTGAAAAAAATAATTTAAGTGATAGTTTCACTTAAATACATACTTGGTCGTTGAAAGTATTAGAAGAAGATTGTGATTTAGAGCTCTTTGAAGTCATATCACTGAGTTGATTGTTTTCTTCAAATAAAGCATCACATTTTTCTTCGGTTTTCATTAGCATAGTTGCGTTGAATCTATTAACTTCTAACATAAATTTATCTTTTACCACATCGCGAACAACTTGTTTGCCTGTAAAAGAAATTACAATAGATAATAAAATAATGTTAAAATAAAAAAAAAAACACAGTGGTGACGTGGAATAGTTGGATCAAGTATAATGATATCTGACAGTGATTAAAATCACTATCAAAATAAAACGCTTCGATGCAAATCTTTAGATAGTGTTTAATTTTAAAAAATTGGTGGATTATTCCAAAAGCTTCATAAACTGCTAGTTCCTTATTAATATCCTGATTAAGACAAAGTATGTCGAATAAAAAAGAGATTATTAGAAAATAGTATTTCCCATAAAAAAATTATATTGATCAATACACTTTTCAATAAGTTATAGCATTATAATGTTAAAAATGTAAAAAATAAAATTGAGAATTTTCACACAATAATAGCATTTGGTAGCCATTTTCACCTTGAAGATAAAATAAAGTCCGAAATTTTTTTTT